GAGAGAGAGAGAGAGAGAGAGAGAGAGAGAGAGAGAGAGAGAGAGAGAGAGAGAGGCTATCTTGAACATGACTCCTGCAAGTTGAATTGCTATGGAAGTGCTAAGGAGGAACTCAGATCGTGAAAAGAGATGATATGACATTATGATGAGGTCGCCACAGTAAAAAAAATGATCATCAACAGCATTAGGGTTCTGATAATGATTTCATCTGGTTGGCTTACAGGTACTTGAATGGTTGGGCTGCACATTATCGGCAAACAGTTATCCTTTCATCGTTCTGCAATGCAGGTGCATACAATAACACCGTTTTGGATTCTCCAATTTTTTTTCTTCTTATGATTCCCCGTTCGGTAACTAAAACTATACTCTATAGCTGAGTGATCCTCGGGGGAATGCTGCACGACGATTTGTTGCTGTTGCGTGACTCGGTTTCTTCGTCTTCCCGATCTACATCTGCACAGTTCGGAATGCCGCAGAGCTCCATTTCTAGCCGAATGTCGACGATCCTGCAAGCGCCACATAATCGTTTTTTCTTGTCCTTGTTTCCCGGTGATCTGGACATCAGAGGTTTACTTTACCGATCAAAGGGGCTCACTTGAATCCGACACAGACACACAAAAAAACGCACCGCGTGTAAGTATGAGGCCCTGGATACTGGAAAAGGGGTGCCGTATGTCGGAGAAGTATCCCCGTCGAAAAAGAAGAGGAAAAAAAGTGCGGCAAAACAAAAACAAAAGCTCAAATAGAAAACGCTGCGGATGGAAGTATTGGCCGTGCATGTGGAGAAAGGCGCCTTGTTTTTACTTGTCCCCCCCGCCCCCAAGAGCAGGGAAAGATCCTGCCAATTCATAATAGTACCAACAAAAGCCTGTGCACTTTGCAGTCTTGCTGTCAGTGTGTTGCTGTTGGTGCACAGCAGACACCCGCCTCGGACACCGAGCTCGTGTATCTGATGGCAATTATGGCGAGAATCAGATGCGCTCGACCGCGATCACCTCCACAGCTGAGTCGAAAAGGTCCTTGTGTACTTTTCCACGATAATTCTGACCGTTATTCTGACAACGTACTTTCGACCGAACAGGAAAGAGCCTGACACCTAAATCTGGGCCTAGAGAAAAACAAAGACCTACCGCCTCACCATCCATAAACTGTTGCCATGCAGGCTCTCTCTTTCACCACTGACCACATGCACGAAAGCCAAAATTTATGGCGGTGTATCTTTCTAGGGTAAGCAGAAGATTCATTCTCATTTCCCACATTTGGTAAGTAGTGGAGCGAGTGCACATACCCGAGTGTTAATTCAGGCGGAAGTGGATCACTTTTCCTTGCTGTATACTAAGCATGTTTCTGCCCAGATTCGTTTCACCCCAAAAAGGAGCCCGCACCCTAAGCCTGACCCAACTGGTGCAACTATGTGCTGTTGGAATGCAGACCTGAGTTCGAATCCATTTTGACTAGAATTAGACGACTATTGAGCGCTGTAGCTGACCGTCATTCCGCCAAGGTTCTTTCGACCTGAAAAAAGCCCGAGGCCTAAACCGGGCCTAGCTCAGTTGGTATACCCACTAACGGTCGAAATAGACGACTCAAATGCAGACCTGGGTTCGAAGTCCAAACCCTGCCGGGACTCGAGGACGCAAATAAAATAATCCTGGAACTACCTGGGTCTGAATCCTCCGTCTGATGAGTTCGATGTTGACAGGTGAAGACAGTCTTGTGTATGTAGAAAATAATTTTTGCAGCAGCTGTTTTCTTGCCGCCCCTTCCTTTGCCATGGAGGAAGGTGAAGAGGAGGATGGCAAAGACGCAGAGGAAAAAAATACTGTGAGCCACGGGGAAAGGGGGGAGAGGAGGATGACGAGGAGCTCTACAATGAATGGGAAGCGGCGAGAAGAGGACGAAGAGGAGAGAGAGAGAGAGAGAGAGAGAGAGAGAGAGAGAGAGAGAGAGAGAGAGAGAGAGAGAGAGAGAGAGAGAGAGAGAGAGAGAGA